GATCCAAGTTAGGAGCTAATTTTCGATTTCTGCGAAAGAAGTGAACCGGTGACCCGCCAAATCGTGCTGCATCCGTCGGAACAACCAGTAATTAGAAGGAGCAATGTCCGGCAAATACGGCGGGTGCGGTAAAATATCCCACTTGAGCATTTCCAAATAATTTTTTACGACTTTTGCGACATGAGGTCGAGCGTTATCATGCAGAAGAATAACTTTGTCATGTCTTTGCTCATATTCCGGCCGTTTTTCTCGTAATGCAAGGCTCAAACTGCTTGTGGCGTAACTCCCAATGATTCTGCAAGCTCCTCTTGCGTTTGACTCGGATCTTCATCGAGTAATGCCTCCAATTCTTTGTCTTCGAATTTTTTTGGCTGTCCAGAGCGAGGCTTGTCTTCAACGCTGAAATCACCATTCTTGAAACGTCGAAACCATTCCCCACATGATTGATCAGTTGGAGCATTGTCACTATAAATTTCTACAAGCATTCGATGCGCTTCAGCTGCACTTTTCTTCCAATTAAAGTAGAAAACTAAAACCCCCCGCAAATGCTGCTTAGTTAACACAAAATTTGACATATTCAACACAGTAAAAAATAGGGGTTTTGTATGAAACTCAAAGCGATATAAACTGAATATTATTGACAGATGTCTAACCTCTGAAACCACCGAAATCAGCTGTCATTATGAATTCATAACAGCCAGAGCCATCTTTTGAAAACGGACCGAACTAATTTGTACTTTTAATAATATATATTTTATTTCAAGTTAAGCGTATTTCTCTTAATTGCAGAAGCCTCACCCGCTATACTCGCGAGTAGATTTCTTCTAATTCACGACCACTCACCAACTTAAAACGAACCCCGAGCTACCGGTGTCCGCGATCCGGTCAAAAATCTTTGAAGTGNGAAACCCCCCCGCAAATGCTGCTTAGTTAACACAAAATTTGACATATTCAACACAGTAAAAAATAGGGGTTTTGTAATAAACTCAAAGCGATATAATCTGAATATTATTGACAGATGTCTAACCTCTGAAACCACCGAAATCAGCTGTCATTATGAATTCATAACAGCCAGAGCCATCTTTTGAAAACGGACCGAACTAATTTGTACTTTTAATAATATATATTTTATTTCAAGTTAAGCGTATTTCTCTTAATTGCAGAAGCCTCACCCGCTATACTCGCGAGTAGATTTCTTCTAATTCACGACCACTCACCAACTTAAAACGAACCCCGAGCTACCGGTGTCCGCGATCCGGTCAAAAATCTTTGAAGTGCGTACTTGATTTAAAACGAGAGGTAATAATCGAAAAGATAACCGTTACTTCCTCTGGCTCCCAACACTTGAGAAAACTCATTGGGTCTTCGGAGATCGTTGTGTCGCCGCGGAATTTCCGGTAGAATTTCCGGCGGAGATCAAAATTTCCGGCGCAAATTGTATTATATTGCAGTGTGACTTATGACAAATACTACAGAAATATTTAGAAATAATACTATGAAATTTCATAAAAATTATTATGTGATCTATCGTATGGTATTAGGTTGGAAACTATGAAACGGGCGTTTTTGGTTAGCCTGTCTTTAACTGCGACTGAGAGAGGTTCATTACAACGTGCGCTCGATCTTTTTATTTATAAATTTTAAAGGTATTTTTCTTACTCATTTTGTAAAATTTTTTCATGTTTGTGTTCCATTTTTATTTTATATTTTTCCCAAACCAGATGGAAACAAAACGCGATTTGCATCTACTTTTTTTGTATGAGTACAAATTGAATCATAGTGCAGCTCAAGCTTCGAGAAACATTAATCAAGCTTTCGGAGATGGATCCACCAATGAAAAAAATGCTCGATATTGGTTCCAAAAATTTCGTTCTGGCAATTTGAGCATCGTCAATGAGCCTCGAGGAAGACCACCGATCCATATTGATAACGAGGAATTAAAGACGGCTGTGGAATCCGATCCAGACACAACTATTCGTAAACTTTGGACTAAGCTAGGAACTAGCCATACGGCTGTGTTGAAACATCTGCGTGCAATAAACAAAGTAAAAAAATTGGACTCATATGTACCGTACGAATTGACGGAACTGCAGATGATTGACCACAAGAATAAGTGCGCATCTTTGTTGATTCGCAATACATGATTGCCGTTTTTACACCAAATCATTACTTGTGATGAAAAGTAGATTTTGTACGATAATCGAAAACGATCAAGCAAATAGGTAGATAAGAATACACCGCCAGGGCATACTCCTAAGCCGAAATTCCATCAAAAGAAGATTATGGTTACCATATGGTGGAATGCCAAAGGAGTGATCCATTATTCCTTCCTACAACCAGGCAAAACCATAACAGCGGAGTCCTATTGCCGTGAAATTGATGTCATGCATGAGAAACTTGTGAAAAAACAACCAGCATTGCTTAATCGGCACGGCGTAATATTACTGCAAGATAACGCAAGATCACATAAAGCTTCAATCACTGTTGACGAGTTAAATTCTCTAAAATATGAACTTTTACCGCATCCTCCATATTCACCAGACATCTCACCGACCGATTATTACCTTTTTCGTAATTATGAATTATTTTTAAGAAAAAAAAATACAATAACCAAAACGATATTATAAAAGACTTGAATTGTTTATTAACTCTAAAAATGAAGATTTTTTTTAAAAAGGCATTTATGACTTGCCCAATCGTTGGCAGAAAGTCGTAGATGCCAATGGAAATTATTTCGATTAAAAATAATAAATAATATGAAAAATAGCGCTTTTTGATTTTTATTTCTATTCAACGCCCGTTTCATAGTTTCCAACCTAATAATATTACTGCAATATCTTGAGAATATTACAATAATACAATGTGATATATCGCATTGCCAATATTACTATAATATCGTGCAAATATTACAATGTGATATGTTGCATTATGATTTTTCTGATATATATGAAAAACGTTACGTTATGCAATATAATATTATAATATATGACAAATTTTATTATACTATAATGTGACGTGGCGGTTTAAAGCGCCCATCACAAGCGGCGAATGCCTCCGAGGAGGTCCTAACGCAGCGGATTGGGCGAGGGGGGGGGGATTGTGCTTCTTCCAAGCACGTAATTTTTTCGACGAAATTTATAGTGTGTAGCGAAGACCGCGCATCTTCGATGCTCGTGACCCAATGAGACTAGTCTCGCGTCCTCAAGAGATGTTCATCCACGCTCCCTATGGCGGCAAAAAGAGGAGGAGGAGCAGGACGCGGAGTGCTGAAGTCCTACTGGCCAGATGGAGGAGTGGCGCCAGCATGACACCGCGGGCAGACACAAGGTGACTCTTTTTCCTCTTTCTTGTAACCGAAAAATTTTTACCGAAACAGCTTAGGCTGTAGAATCTCACCGTTTCCAGCAGTAGAGCCGGTGAACCGAGGACGATTAAAAGGACAGTCCGATCAATAAGCGGAAGTCGCGAAGTCGAATCGAGCTACCGAGGCAGGAGGCGAGACGACGGACCGAGAAAGCCAATCGGCCGACGTCGGTAAGAAGCAAGCTGCCGAAAAAAGACGAACTTCGAGAACAACGGAGGAAGGGGACTCGCTTATTATCTGCGTTAGCCTTACATTTGTTTTTTTTTCTTATGTTCTTGCGTAATCTGCGATTTTTGGCGAGAATATCTGCATTAGAGTTGGGCGAGCATTCGTGAGCGAGAGAAAGAGAACAGGAGAGAGAGAGAGAGAGAGAGAGAGAGAGAGAGAGANAACCGAAAAATTTTTACCGAAACAGCTTAGGCTGTAGAATCTCACCGTTTCCAGCAGTAGAGCCGGTGAACCGAGGACGATTAAAAGGACAGTCCGATCAATAAGCGGAAGTCGCGAAGTCGAATCGAGCTACCGAGGCAGGAGGCGAGACGACGGACCGAGAAAGCCAATCGGCCGACGTCGGTAAGAAGCAAGCTGCCGAAAAAAGACGAACTTCGAGAACAACGGAGGAAGGGGACTCGCTTATTATCTGCGTTAGCCTTACATTTGTTTTTTTTTCTTATGTTCTTGCGTAATCTGCGATTTTTGGCGAGAATATCTGCATTAGAGTTGGGCGAGCATTCGTGAGCAAGAGAAAGAGAACAGGAGATAGAGAGAGAGAGAGAGAGAGAGAGAGAGAGATCGACAGAGCGAACGGAGGACGTGCAGTTCCCAGGAAACACAGCCGCCAGAGGAATATCAAGTTTTGTAGGACCGCCCATCTGCATCTCATTTATAATTACCGCGGGAAGAATCCACGGCGGTTAACCGCACCCTATACGTCGGACTTGGGGGAATTGCAATATCGCAAATAAATAGAATATCCGTCGGTGGTTGCATCGGGCTCACGCCGAGAAATTCTTCCGCGCGTGTACTGTCTCGTGCCTTCTTTTCCATCTTGACTCGTCAGCCTCTTAAAAATTACCTTCCACGCTACCATCCTACCAGCGGACCGTGAGTCCCTCGAAAAGGTATTGCGACACGCTATCGTTTTAGCGTCCTTTGTTACCGTAATCAGCATAAGACAATAAAAGCTAACCATCGATTTATCTCCACCTTCTGTCTTGTATCTTCGCTCCCCATCTTGGCGTAATCAAGCGAACTCCCCCGCTTCCGACTTAAAGTATCAAAGAGCTACCGGTCCCTTTCGGGACGAATCTTGAACGCGAGAAGGGACATACCGGATCCGAAGCCCGTAAAGGCTTCGTCAACCACCACCCTTTTGAGTGAGTGCGGCAAGTCCGCACCTGGCGCCCATCTTTTCTATGAGTATCGAGCAATCACTCTTGCGTCCTGGGCTTCGTTCGGCGGTATTTGCACCGACGATTCGGAAACTCCGAATCGAGAAAACAGTTGCAATACATCTTATTGTAAAATATTATTGACATACGAGGGCAAATTAAAAAGTACCCGTGTTTAAAGACAAGCGGCATTGCTGATGCAGTTTGACAATACCATCGTATACCACCATCTTTCAAACAAAGCCATAAAAAATTTCAGAATGTTTCATGCGATTGTTTTAATTTGACAGCAATTCGTAGTAACCGTGTTTGATATTTTTCGATACTATGGAAAAAGAGCAATATCAATCCGTGATTCGCTTTTTATTTTTGGATGGAAAAACTTGCGAAGAAATAAAAACAAAGATGTATGACGTCTATGGGAACTCTTTACTATCTATGACAACCGTCAGATATTGCTACAACGAATTTAAACGTGGTTTCATTTGTTTTTGATAAGATGCGCCTAGGCCGCCCGGAAGACGTGGTTAAATCGTTGAAAAGGTCCACGATATGATTATTGCTGATCGCCAAACGAAAGTCCGTGAAGCAGAAGCCGTAGGCGTGTTGTACAGAACAGCATTCAGTATTTTGCATGATAACTTGGGAATAAAGAAGCTGTTGGCTCGATGGGTCACAATTGCTCACGGTGGACAACAATCGGATGCGGCTATCAATTTCGAAGCAGTGTTTAGAACTGTTTAAGCGCAATCCGCAGGAGTTTTTGCGTCGAGTTGTAACTGTTGATGAAACATGAATCCATCACTACACACCGGAGACCAAGAAACAGTTAAGACAGTGGACTTCACCTGGCGCATGTGTTCTGAAGAAAGACGGTCTTATCGGCCGGAAAGGTGATGGCCACTGTTCTTTGGGATGCGCAAGGCGTGATCTTCATCGACTATTTGGAGAAAGGAAAAACTACCACGGGGCAGTACTATGCTGATTTATTGGGCCGATTCGATGTTAAACTGAAGAAAAAATGGCTCTGTTTGGCAAAAAAAAGTATTGTTCCACCACGACAATACACTAGCTCACTTCTCCGCAGTCCCCATAATCAAATTGGTCGAATTGCGCTACGAATTGCTGCCGCATCCACTGAACTTTCTGAATTTGGCCCACTGCGATTTCTTCCTGTTTTTAAATTTGCAAAAATGGCTCGATGGAAAGAGATTTATGTCAAATGAGAAGGTCATCGCCGAAACAGAGCCTATTTTGCAGAGTTCGACAAATCATATTTTTCAGAGAGATTAAAAAATGGCAAGGGCGTTGGGGAAAGTGTGTATTGTCCTAAAAGGAGATTACGTTAAAAAAATAAAAAAAAAGTTTTGTGAAAAACTTGCATCTTCACTACTAATACGGGTATTTATTGATTTGTCTTTGTATTTCAAAAATATTGCAATGTTATATTATTATACTTTAATTTTTCTGACGTATGTGAAGAATATTATTGTGCCTGGCTCACTCGTTGTGTGTACTGTTCCCAAAAAGATTCTCATGACAAGGTAATGCGGAAAACAAAACAAGAAATAAGATGGAGAGATTTGGCCATCTTGACTTTCGTACTACGAGATATTCCGTAGATTTCTCTCATTACTTAATTACAATGTTAAAAACAGAAGTTACAAATTCATTTCATATAGAAGCTTATTTATTCCGACAGTGCATGCGTTAAAGCGAAAGAGAGAATCGGATTTTGGCTTCGGACTCGATCGTATCGCCTGAACACAACAATATTATAATTTGGAATATATTAGGTTGGGGAAAAAGAAATCCATTATTTTTAGGTGAACTTCAAGACTTTATTTAATATGTTTCGGATTGTCCGATTTGGATCAAATATGCACCGTTTTGTTTTATAATTTGTTGCCATTTTAAAGGTAGCTTCATAATGCCTCTCTCATAGAAGTCTTGGTCCCTATTGGCGAAAAACTCTAGTAATCGATTTTCACAATTTTCTCTTGATGCCAATTTCTTATCACTAAGGAAGTTTTGCAATGTAAGAAAAACATGGTAATCGCTTGGTGCCGGACTATATGGTGGATGCATCAAAACTTCCCAA